TCAAATAAAAATTTTCACTAAACACTCTGCATCGCATCCCCACCACATGCTTTCCTCGTGTTTGGACACACTTCTGTCGGCTACTTGATCAGTAATGAATCCTTCTAGTGTTCAGGCCAATTTTCAGACACAAACGTCTTGGAAAAGATAAAGAGGAACTGGTTGAAATGGGCTCAACAGAGAGAATGTCGCTATTTCAGAAATGTTTTACAACCCAGATGACTGGTTTCCTCATATACACAGATGGAAGAAAACACAAGGACTGAGTGGATGATCACACAGAGTCACAGCCACAGCCAGAGCCGTTCTGCAGATTCCATCCCAGAGATGCTTCACTACTGAGGTAATTCACTGCTCCCGCAAGTCTGAAGCCACACATTCCGCAGCAGTTTGGTGGCTTGCCTTCCAAGTCACAGGAGATTTCCAGGCTTGCAAGGAGAATGTCTTGTTCTCAGTAATTCCTCAGTTGAGTTATGATATTGGTGGCTGTTGTAATAAGTATGCTGTTTAATCCTCTATACTTTCTATTATGCTTTTCAGTGGACATATTTTCTTTCTCCCTTTTATTATTTTCTGTATTGATAATTACCTTTTAGACAACTCCTGTGGCCTCATGTAAAAAGTATTTTAAAACTGAGCTGTTTGGCAGCAGGACACAATTATAAGACGGACCTTACCTAACAAATGCAATCAGTGTAACCTGGTTCTTTATACCCTCAATGAATTCCCAACAATAAAAAAATAAAATAAAATAAAACTGAGCTGTTCCTACTAAACAGATCTCCACCCAAGTATGGGCATGAGAGTCACACGGAGATGCACTGAGTCCATCTTCTCTTCTAATGGCTCTGAACTTCTCAGTGTGACACTCGAGGCCCTTCATTATCACGGCTCTGCCCACCTTTGTCCCCAGCACCCCTACCCTGGGATTGCCTATTCTCCTGCTTTTGTGATGGCCTGCACTGCCTCCTTCTTTCCTCTTCTCTTGGCCAATTCTCACACATCTTCAAGGACAAAAGTCATCCTTACCCCAGGCTGGCTCCAGTGCCCCCCTGGCCTTCGGAGCATCCCTGAACATCTCTCCTGCCTGCTCTCTCCTGCCCTTCTCGGGTGTTGGCACATGCATTTCTCCTCTGTATCTCGTCACCGAGTTCATGGTGTAATTTGTTACATTAAAAACTCTTCTTCAAAACCGATTTTGCCAAAGGACACCAGTACAACTAGTTTCTTTCTTTCTTTTTTTTTTTTTTTTAAAGAGGATTATTCAGTGTACACTTACACTATGCCTCAGGCTTTCCAGGCTTAGCAATGGAAGATGACAGTACATATTTTAAGAGATTTATTTTCTCAGTTCTTAAACTCTTAATCCATTTATTCTCAAGTTTTTTTTTTTTTTTAATTTTTAAGTTACTATGATACATGGTGAGGAGATGACAGCCCTATAGATGGAGCAGAAAGTGCTAACCTTTTCCATACAGTGAGTGGCTCCCTCCATCCTCAGGCTGCCATGCCCGCCCAAGAGACGACAGGCTTGTACTGAGCCCTCAATATACACATGACACAGTTTCCCTACAGAGAACGTAGGGAAAATTTCTGCTTTTCAGTCTTATTGAAAGTTACTACTTTTTTTCTTTCCACTATCTAGCACTTCCAATGAATGCTAATTATATGCCAGACACAGTTCTAGCACTTATGATGCATTAAATGACTTAATCCTTGCAACACCCTTTTAGGTTGGTATTATAATTTTTTGGTTTTTTTGAGACAGTGTCTCATTCTATTGCCTAGGCTAGAGTGCAGTGGTGTCATCATAGCTCACTGCAACCTCAGACTCCTGGGCTCAAGTGATCCTCCCATTTCAGCCTCCCAAAGTGTTAGGACTATAGGTGTGAGCCACTGTGCCTAGCTTGATACTGTAATTATTCCATTTTGCAGGTGAGAAAACTGAGGCCCAGAGAGGTTAGATAACTTGCCCAAGGTCACACAGCTAAGAAGCAGAGCTGAGTTTGAATGCAGAAAATCTGGCCCAGAGCCTGCATCCCACACTCTGGTCCCTCAGTATCTGATGAGTGGGGTGTCTAATTACCCTCAGTATCTGATGGTTGGGGTATCTAAATTACCCTCAGTATCTGAGGGGTGGGGTGTCTAAATTACCTTTTAGACAACTCCTATGGCCTCATGTAAAAAATATTTTAAAACTGAGCTGTTTGGAGACAGCTGGGTGGCACAGAGCATCCCACTACATTAATTGGCACCCAGTGCCCCTGACCCTGGGCATGTGTTAACTGAAAGGATACAGCCTTCACAGCAGCAGTGTTTTGTGAGATGTCTAAAAATTAAGAGAAGCTAAAAAAATAACTAGGAATTTTCCAGATTTGCACTAGCAAAACAACTCGCTGAGGGAGGACAGAGTAGACTGCAGGAGCACCTGCAGCCCAGCTAGGTGGGCAGCTGCACTGCTGCCTCAGAAGCTTTGCTGTGGCTCCATCGAGATGTGGGCGCGTTACTCAGCAACACATGCTCCTTAGGTGTCTGCTCCCCCTGCAGCCATGGCCAGGTGCACCCACATGCATCCTCACTTCCCATGTCTTCTACCCCAGCAGGGCAGGGTCCTCCCACCAACCATGGCGTCCCCCAGGAGGGTGGGGTTGGGGCAGGATTACCCTACCAGACCTTCCCAGCCCATCTTTCTCCCAGTGGTTCCCTCCTGATTTCCTCTCTAGTATATGCTCTTTTCTTATGTTTTCTCTTCTCTCTTCTTTCCTTTTCCTTTTTTAACTGATAGTGGTTTTGGAGTTTAAAAAGTATTTACTTTTTAGCAGTAGTAACTGATAACTGAATAGCTAAATGACAAAAGGAGTTTTTTGAAATGTAATTAATAATTTTGTTTTGGGAATTCAATGAATTGTCAGTCATATTGTGTTAAGTGAGTATAAAATATTTTAATTTACACTTATGAATTGTGTTTCTTGAGGAGATCTGAGTGGAAAATAAATTTTATACATCTTTCAGGTAAGCACTGTCATAGAGTATTATAGCACGTAGAATGCCACAAGAGAGGTTTTTGTAGATAGTCCATGAACAGTTGGACTCAGGTTATTTTATGAATTGTTATTTGAGCCTAAAACTAATCTCTTTGACATTAACATCTGTAATAAACATTTGAGCGAGGCCTGCATTCAGAATACAGGATAGAACACAGACGTCATCCCTCTTCACTAAGCTTATGTTTTCTCAATAACCTAATTTTGTCTTTCATAAGATATTAATACTTTTACTCTTAATCATGTTAATTCCCAAGGTAGGCTTTAAAAGTGAATGAGGAAGTATGCAAAGGCAGTCAGTTCTACTGAAGTATGCATTGAATCGCTAAAGGTAAATCCAAAAATTTCAGGGTTGCTAAAACGCAGAACTTCATCTGAAAATACTTCCTGGACTTCCATCAAACCTGGGGGCCTGGTTTGGACTGTTTCTTTGGCTTTGTCGTCTTCAGAGCTGAGGTCACGGGCAACATACCAGGATGCACATATTAACAAAGCAAATTGTGTCTACCTGTCCGCTTTGGACCAAAGACTTAACTCTTACAAGGAGCACGGTGGTGGCCCAACCAACAGTGCTGCCATGTGCTGCTCTGACTGCTGGAATGAATCTTTGATGATCCAGCTTAGAATAGGAGCTAACCCCAAGACAGTGCAGCGCACAGGGCATAAAGTAAAATATTGTGAGCAAGAAGAAGATGAAAATCACAGGCCACAGAGGTGGTGGAGGCTGATTTTAAAAGTGCTCTAATTACAGGGAACATGTTTCCCAACTATGACGAGCTTGTTGGGTAAACACGGGACCAAAACCACATTCTAAGACTTAAAAAGCCATGCATCTACATAATTCTATTTTTATTCTGTGTAAGCATCTTACTTTATCAATGACTGTAAACTAATTTTAGTAACATAATAAAAACAATCCAACCTTCTGCCTTGCCACCCCCCACACACAAACATGCGCTTCTTAGAGTCATATGTGTTCAAGTTAATTTACTCTCTTCAGTTCTTACATGACTTTCCAACAGAATTAGCTCATGACCCAGACTGTGAAAGAGGCAGGCCCTACATTTTATATACAGTAGGAGAACATCACTATGCCTGGAAATGCTGCCAACCACTCTCCACAAAAGAGCCTGGGACAGAAGTGTGCTCTCTGGGCTAGCTGGACAGTGGCAGGTGTCACAGCCATGATGATAACTAATCCCTACTACATGACATTGCTGAGTAGTCCATAATCACTTTACGGGGACAGTTTCTTTCTGAGATAACAACTATAAAATTATTAGGATTCAACATTATACTAAATGATAGGAAAAGCCAAGGAAGGCAATCAAGAATGGGGACGGAGACATAAACTAAAACTTAACCCTGACACAAGAAAAGAAAGATAAAAGAAAAGAGTGGGGAGGGGAAAGAGGCTGGTAGGTCTGTTTTCACTGCATATTTATGCAGAACAAAGCAAAACATAGATTGTTCTTCCTCTTTCCCTCTAATACATGTGACCATCTTGGTAATAAGTCTTATCCTCAAAATGGAAATAGACACATGAACTATATACAACTGGCCCTTTGTACCTGAGGGTTCCACACCATGGATCCCACCAGTCGAGGATCCTTGGGTAAAGGGCTCTTCTACAACCTGAACTTTATCTTGGAAGTGAGAACAATGTAACCTAAAAATTAATTTGAAATAAAAAAAGTGAACTCAGGGAAAAATACAGTAATCTTGGGATTCGAAATCCATAGGCATGGAGGCCAACTCTCCGTTAAACTTGAACACATGGCATCTGGTATCCAGAGTGTCAGTCCTGGAACCAATTCCAGGGGATACTGAGGAATGACTGCACTAGGTCCCTCTCTGGCATCTCTCATGGGATTCCTAAATGAGCCAGGAGCACAGTACCTGGAATGGTGTACAAGAAGGAACTGGGAAGAGCCCTGGCATGGAGTTGGTGCTCACCTCATATTCCTCCTTGAAGCCGTAACCCTCGGCACACTTCATCTGTGTGATGTGTTGCAGGAGGTCTGCCACTCGGATGGCGGGGTGAAGCTGCCCGGTCTGGTAGGGCACGTCAGCTGCCTCACGCTTCTTGTAAGTGTGGGACTGCACCAAGCTACTGGTATCGCTGGCCATTGTGTGGGTTTCATCTAGGAAAAGAAAGTCAGGGAGAAAATGACGGCAGGCCAAGAAGCTAAGCTGGCATCACTGAGAAAGCTAGGAAGCTGGTCGCTGATATTCCCTCAATCTATGGCTGCAAAACTCCCTACGATGGCTTAGCCAAAAAGAAAAGTTAAATGTTTAGAGATTTAAATGGGGTTGGCAATACTGATAAGAATGTGCAGAAATCTTTGGTTTTACAAAGCAGTCCAAACGATAACTTAGCTTTTACAAAACTAATTGACAAGGGCCCATTTGCCTTTTGGTGCTAAAGTTTGTGGAAGTTTCAGTCTGAAACTTCACCAAGACTTGGTGCAAAAACCAGTCTCATATTCTTCCAAACATTAGTAACTAGTTTGTATGATGATGTAAATAAACTCTGCACAGATGTTCTGTGAGCAAAATAAAAGAGCACAAAATGGTTTGGCTTGTAAAGCTAGCGATGGAAATGGGGGCTCCACACATGAAGTCAAAGAAGAGTAGAAAAATGAAAGGGAACTTAGTTTGGGGGTGATGGTTTGATGAGTCACTGTGCATGCTCCGGCGGTGGCGGAAAACTCGACAAAATATTGTGGACAAACACATCACATGGAATGTTGTACAACAGCAAACATGCAGGCCAGCACGGAGCAGGATCAGCTGGCTCGCCAGGATCTACCGGTGAGACACACACTCCCGCTCCCTCCGCAACTTTTCCATGGGCGAATTCGGGCAACTTACCATTTATTGGCACTTTTAAGAAGATAGATATCAGGAGAAAAAAAGGAGGAGAAAAAGGAAACAGGGCATAAGCAATGGTACTGAGTGAATAATTACAGGTAGTTTTTATTTTCTGCTTTAATTTTTCAGTTAAGTTTTCTATTCAAAGGTGGTCAGAGGGCAAAGCCTCAATTTTCCCATCATACTAGGATGGAGGTGTTTAATTTAAGTACTCAATAACAAAAAAGGAGGTTAAATTAGTATTATAATTGCCTTTCATCCCCCATGAACCAAGTAATGACTAAATAAGTCTTATTTGTATTCAACACATTTTCTCATTTAAACTTCTTGAGTAAGTCAACCAAATTGCACTACAAAATTAATGTCAAAATTTGGTCAAATAAGCCTAAAGAGGCCATATTTTAATGGAAAACTACTAGTAAATTAGGTTAATGAACTGCCGAAATGATAGCTATTAAAACTGTCTTATGCAGAAAAGTGCTATTAGATTAAGAATTCTACAGGTTAACTCATTATAATGCCTTTAGCTGTTTTAGGATCAAGGATGAGTACTGTCAAAATATAATGCTAAAGTCACTTAAAATGAGAATATTCTATCAAAATTGATTTCAGATATAAATAATTAAGACATAAAAGATATATCAAATTTTTGAAAAAAATTACCAGTTTATCAATAGGGAATTCAGCTATAGTTATTTAAAAAAATTAAAAAAATTATTTTTTTAACTGAGAAGTTCAGCACCAAAGGAAATTTAGTCCAAGGGTGCTTGGTCAGCGGGGCCTGAACCCTCATTCCCGTCTGCATCGCAAAGCACCTGGGATGCGTGGTATGAAAGGTGGTACACAAGTGTGTAGCTATGGTGCTGCTGCTGAAATGGCACCTGATCACTACAAGGTGGCTACAGACACAGACAAAATAAAAAAGGTGGTAAGTTGATTTTATGATTTTTTTTTTCATTTGGATTTGCTTTGAAATTTAGCAACTCACACGTTCCCATTTTTTTTAGAACAGTCACAGATACACCTGGAAATTTTCACATCAGATTTGTTTGCTGGCAACTGCCAAGTTTTATAAACAGGGAAACAAGAACCCCCCACTGAAGTACTGAACCCCTTGAGCTTTTAGTTACTACAGTAGGAAGTTCTTGTTCTTTATACTAAAATAAATGGAACGTTAATTAGTTTCCCCTCTGTGCCTCTCTCGTTCTCTCCGTTTTGTGCCTTGTGGGATGAACATAATTAATATGCCTCCATTGTGGGCTGACCTTCTAAACTTCCCCTAAATGATTTGGGCCTGTCGCGTGGCTATGTAGCAACCTAGCAATGCTCTGATCTCGGGGAAGTTGTAAATCCACAGAGAAGCAACCACCATCAGTATACTCCTGCACCACGTCATGCCCTCTTGGCCTCATTTCTAGTGTGGAACATGCCTTTAAAGCATTTAAACACCACCAAGTCCATCTAAGAAAAGAGCATTATTAGCTAGTACATACATAGAGAAGGGGCAAGAGAGGGCTTCTCCTGCAGTATCGGTTATGAAGTTGGATCACCTATGCTACTAGAAATTCTTGATTCCACAAAGATTAGTGGTTAATCAGTTTTCTGTCACTTCTTTAAAAAGGATTATTACTGATACAATATATCATTTATCATTAATTTCCTTTATGTGTTAAAAAATTACCCCCCAATAATTTCTTAATTAAGAATAATGCCTAAGAGGAAATCAGAACTAAAGTTTCTCACTTAACAGTTCTGATGGTTTTCTAAGAACTGAAAATGAACTCTGTCTTTATTCTTTCATTCTTTAATGAAATTATCTTGAATTTTTTACAAACCAGCTGAAAAACCAAATTGAAATTAATGCTCCATTTTTTAAACTGAGGAGGTTCTACCTATCCATCCATCCATCCATCTATATTTTCACAAGCAAATGAGCTACAGATGTACTTAAGGTCTACGCATTAGAGCTGAGCCCCTCAGCATGAGAGAGGTGAAGGTACAGGCAATTCAATTGTGTGAGCTCTGATGCAGGACAAAGCATTTCTTCTTGTCTTAGTGCATATTCTACTGCTACTACCCTTCAGAAGTGCTAGAGCAGCCATACAGCTCATCTTCTTCCCCTGGCTTCAAGCAATAACCCACCTGTTCTTACTATGCAACAGGTAGACTCACATTTGCACTGAGTACTGTATGAGGAAGCCCATTTTCAAGCACTGCCACTGGTGAAGTCAGTACCTACGTACAGCACAGCGCTGTATGTGTAACAGTTACTTGTCTATCTGGCTGACTTCTTTTTCTACAACAAGCATCATTTTTTCGCTACTTGAATTGCCCATGCAATTCTCTCTTGGTAAAGAAGCCTAACCAACTTTAAAAGATGTCATTAATGTTCATATTAACAAAGCAGTGACTTTAAAAAATGATATTTGTTTAATAAGCTTATCTTAGATCCTGCTGCGCAATCTGAACATTTTCTTCCTTCTGACAATGCACGTCTCAGCCCTCCCCACACACAGCTCCCCAAGGTCAGAATTATCTACTGGAGGAACCTCAAAATGAATGCCACAGCACACAAAGAAATCACAAATCTTTGCCTACCAAAAGATTCTGCAAATGTCATTTGCATGCAGATTATATTGTTCTGGTGCCTAAGATTAGCCTGTGCCCCTCACTTGTGTAAAGAATAAAAACGAAGCTTTATTTCCCTCAGAGTTGATATCAAAAGGTTTTGGGGGAGGGGATTTTATGGGCTTTGTTAGCCCTCAAAATGATGCAGAATTCAAAAATTCTCTTTCTTAAAACTTCTAGCTTAGTTCATTTTCTCCCCCCTCAGGCAACTAACTTGCTTAAGCCCAGAGAACACCGTAAGGAAAATACAAATTATCCTGTATGCAAATATCAAACATAGAGAAAAGAGAAGCACAGGGGAAAAATTATGACGCAAAGATATAAACCCTTGTAAAGAGAATTAGGGAGGAGAAGTTGAATAGCTGAGGATGGAACCCTTGCTACAATGAATTCTTCTATACCTTGACGCCATTTTTGTTGTGCTCCCTCTCGGTAAGGTTAGTGGTAGAAAGAGAACACAGCCGTGACACACTCGGGTTATTTTTGCATCTCAAATGCAACAGCAGCTCATGCTTGCTTGGCTATCACAGCCAGGTAATGCCATTTTTCTCCTCACCCTTCTTATATTGGACAAATGAGATTTTTTTCCTGTAACCCCCTGCTAGGACGATTTCATGCTTTAAATGCATTCTGCCCCAACGGGCTAACATTTTAGTTCATTTCTATGACACCTGACACACAATAAGCCTCATGATTATAAGGTGCCATCTTGTCATTTCGCTGCTGAGATCTTCAGCTCCTTTGAGACTTCACTCTGTGACAGACACTTTGGAATGCCGAAGGGTGCCATGAGTGGCACTGAGGATGGTAGGGGGCCAAAACTCTATTGTGATCATTTTTCTGCATAACATTAGGCATAATTAGAAAAACGCTATTTTTGAAATTGAAGTTTTCAGAGCTTAGCAATCAGTGAAAATAATGAGAAGCTATTTTCACTTTTATGACTACCACATCTGACAGAATTCAACAACTGGAAGTACACAGCTGTGTGAGGACATGGGTCTTTTCCTTAGGATTGGACCTAAACGTAAATGCTGAACACAGAAAGGGAGGATACTGGAGCTGGGATTGTTCCTTTGACCCTTTTGGTATCATGCCCAACATACATGCAGCAAACCTTCTTATCAACGATGATGTTTCAACAAAGTCTTTTTCTCCTCTGACCCTGCCCACCTTCCCAGGGCCACCCACCACTCCCAGGTGCTGCTGAGAATCACTGCATCATACAGAATTAAAGCTGCAATCTCCTCCAGAGTGGCCACTGACTTTCTAAATTACACCTGCAATTAACTGTGGTAAAGGGAAATGTTCTCACCTAAAATTGCGGTTGGCACAAATGGGTCTGTCATACATCGTAAGCAGGTCAATGCAGAGAAAGTAAAAAGAGAAAGAACAGTAAATGATTGATGAATGGTCCCCCAATTTCTGCACAGAAAGTCATAGAAAGCATTGGGTTACAACATCTCAAACACAGTAAGCTCCTAAAGCAACACGGATTGCACAGTGAGGCTGACTGACTAACTGCCCAGTGGTAACGAGGGATGAAACAATGGAAAGATCTGTTACCTGGGTAGTAGGAATTAGGCACCGACGTGCTCAGTGTATTGGTCTTCATTGTAAAGGATGATGGTGAAGACACAGCTGTAAATGAAAGAAAGGCTGGTCAGCAGTGGTGGAGAGGAAATACATGCTCTCTGAGTGCAAAACACTTGGAGACCCCTGCAGCAACCCCATGCTGGTGGAGAATGCTGACAGGAAGAAACCTCTGAGATGCACTTACACCTGCATGGTAAGTATCACCATGCCCAGTTGTTTCTGGGTAGCTACTTGTCCTTTAGAACAGCAGTCCCCAAACTTTTTGGCACCAGGGACAGATTTCATGGAAGACAATATTTAATTTTTCCATAGACTGGGAGTGGGGTATGGTTTGAGGATGATTAAAGCACATTTCCACCTCAGATCATTAAGCATTAGACTCTCAGAAGGAATGTATACTCTAGATCCCTCACCTGTGCAATTTACAGTAGGGAAGGGTCTGCGCTCCGAGGAGACACTACTGCCGCCACTTACCTGACAGGAAGTGGGGCAGGCGGTGATGTGGGCAATGGGGAGCCTCTGTAAATATAGATGAAGCTTTCTGCTCACCTCCTGGTTTCTAAGCCAATGGATGATACAGGGTCTGGGGACCGCAGCTTTAGAAGACAAGCACCATTTTACCACTTAACGAGGGGAAAATCCACCACCGCAACCACCATTTTGGACAGAGATTTCTGTTTTCATTTTTAGCCTTTGCTTATAGAATTCTGCTATTAGGCTGAGCTGAATTTTGCAACAAAAAGTTGAAAAATGTGTTTACACGTGGCTTTTGAGAATATTCTGAACATGAATGTATCTGTAGTTTGCTAAGTCCTCTCCCTCCTCATAATTTGGATTTGCAGAGAACTTTCCAGTGATATGACCTGGGTTTTGAAGAGTAAAGGTAGAATTCCCTGTGTGAATTCCCTTCCTATTGCTTTTAAATACTTACAAAAACGCTTTTTTTCCCTTTGGAAAAGCCCTCTGGAACTCTCAAGATTGGACTAAATACCCTCTCTTCCTCCCTGCTATCAAGAGAGAAAGTCAATCCCGTCTAATTTATCTGATTTCATTGAAAATGGATCTTTTCTGTTTTTAGGAGACATTTTAAACTCTCTTCAGGTGTCTTAATTGATTAGTATTTTAAAAATGCTTTAATTTCGTTAAGGTATAAAGATTTGAATGTGCTCAGGAGGTTAAACTCAAGTCTAAATCTTAACTCCCCTGATGTAGTTATATGATCTATGTGGCTGAGTTCCTGATCAGACACTAACACACAATTACATCATTGTGTTTATAGGAAGCACAACCCTTCCTGTTATGGAGACAGTCTAATTATTCTTTTTTTTTTTTTGAGACAGAGTATCACTATGTCATCCTTGGTAGAGTGCTGTGGTGTCACAGCTCACAGCAACCTCAAAGTGCTTTAAGCTCAACCAATTCTCTTGCCTCAGTGTCCTAAGTAGCTGGGACTATAGGCTCCTGCCATAACGCCTGGCTAGACAGTTTAATTATTCTGGTGACTAATAATTCTGTCTAATTATTCTATGTTAATACATTTTAAGCCTCCAGGAGCAGTTCCTTTAGGAGAGTGCTTTTACCTACATTTATATGTTTAATGTGTAGAATTAGTAAATGTCAGAGCAAGGACCAGAATCCAGCTCCCTGTCATTTTCAAGATATTTTTCTAAAATAGAGAAGTATCGTATTTCTATTTCATGTTTATGGTAAGTTGTCAGGGAAAAAAGAGAGCAACTGATGAAAACAAGAATGAAAAAAAAGCAAATAAGAACCAATAAAATATGAGAGGGTCAACAAGAATAATGCCTCTTTATTACCTGCAGACATTTTTATGTGGATAGTAAAAATGTGCAAAGCAGATATAAAATAACTATCTTTATTTTCACCTTTTCAATAAGATATTTTAAAATACTTTCATCTTTAAGCATAAACATTAAACCCATTCCCACTACCCAGATCTATTTTTCCGTCTACATTAAAGTAGACGGCACAGCTCTTCTTTGCTTTGGTAGACAGGTTATTCCCCACTCTCATAAATGTGTTCGTGCTTATTTTTAAACACTCCAATTTCATTTTTCTCACTGTGTCATTTCTAAAAGTTACTCACAATTTCTAGCACTTTCCCCCAGCGCTAAAAGATCTCACATACACACCCCTGTGCTTGTTGTCCTTGTGGTGCTGGCAGCCTCATGGTTTACTGAATACTTTTCCTGCAAGTTTCTTTCCTAGGAACTATTCTCTAAAGACATTAAGAGGGTCCGAGGGTAAAGTTTACCTCGAGGGTCACCCTCATAAATGATATTCGGTAAGACCAGCTCACTGTTTAAAGAGCAGACAGAAAATGGAAAGTCTACTGTGGTGCTTCTTCCTCGGGCTTTACTGACAGCGGGGAGACACAAACTCAGCCTAACAGCCCGTCAGCTGTGGGAGGAGCCTCACAGCTGCTTCTTCCGCAGTTCTTTTTGCAGGAACATATTTGGATTTTCATAGATACATTCACTTTTTCAAAAAGTAACTGCAAGAAATTAAACTTCTTGTCCAGAGGCAAATATTCCCTGTTGTTCACACTTCAAACACCTAGGAACTGCCGACACAGGTTACCGCTCCTTGGGTGAGTAATTCCAAGTAAATTTATTCCATAGGAATATTACCATGAAATAGAAAGTCTAGAGCATTAATGGGTTATTCTGGAAAGTGAGAACCTGATCTGTGTGGTCCCTTTCCTACTGAGACTCAAGAAATAACTGCTGCTCCCCAACTTCTGACCTGCACATGGTGGGAAGGGCTCCTCTGACCCCAGCCCACCACAGATGCACCACAGCTTGCTTAATTTTGACAGCTGATGCATTAGAAATGCTTTTTTAATGAATAATATAATATCTGCCACTAAACCCCAGATAATTCTATGAAAAAATGGGAAGTCGTTTATGGTGAACTGGGACACTATAGCTCCTATTACCTGTGCTGGAAATGACAGGAGGGATGAAGGCCAGGATTGGAAACAGCTGGTCAGCCAGGCCCACTGGCTCCAAAACAGTGTGGGCTGCACGTAGGCCATTGGGCCAGGAGCACGTGTGGAACAAAGGGCTTGGGAGGGTAAGGGGAATAACTGCAGCTGCTACAGCAGGAGGAACACACATGAGACGGAGTCCTGTGCAGCCAGCAGGGCCTGGGAGGGACAGAAAGCTTGGGACTGGCATGCGCGCTGACCACGACGTGATCCACAAGGAGGGGAAAGGCCTGCTGCAGATCTAACAGGACAGAGCAGGTCAGAACAGTAGCCCCCACTGTCCAAGCTGCCATCTGTCACCCCTTCCACACAGCCCTTCTGTGCTCCTTCCGGTTACGAGTCCCTGCCCCTCCACAGTTTACATGCACGTTTTTATTAGTTACATTAATAGCTGCACTTAGATTGCACCCCCATGCTGGACGGCATCCTGATTAAGTAGCTGGGGTCAGTAGTGGCCTGAGGCACACATTTCACACAGTAAAGAAACCCTTGACCTTGAACTTGATGAGTGTATGCCCTGAGCCACACAGTCATGAACATGCCCCTGGTCTCCAAGAAGACAAGATCATCAGGGACAGAGCAATTTTTCCTCCTGCACTTCATAGTTTCAATCTAATTGTTAGTTTCCTAAAATAATGCTTTTTACCTGGATTACAGGTGGAAGTACCGGGAGGTATCAGCTGAGCTCGATTTACCCACCTGGTGTGAAGTGTGAGACTTGTGAAGTTGAAATACAGTTTAATTTATTAATTGCCACTAATAGCCCCATAATAAAGGCAGAACCTGTCAGCTAGACAAATAAACAATTAACTTGTTACTGCCATTTAGTGAACTGTTTTATAACAAGCTTCCCTCATGTAATTCCACACCTGGCTAGCTTACAAATGGGATCGAAACAGCAAAAGGGATGATGAGAAACAGGTGCCTTCTTCCTCGAGCAGAGGAAAGGCTTCATGCCTCTGCTCTCTCCAACTTACTTAAATGTCACTGTAGTTTCCTGTGCTCTCTGACCTGGTGCTGTGGCCTTTGGAACATCTCTGCTAAGCAACCCATGGCATGTAAGAGTTTTTAGGATCATTTAAAATGACTGGGGAAACCTATATGACACACAAATTCTTGGGAAGCTCTTTTTGTGTTTTAATCCTGGAAAACCAGAGAGAAGTGTTCAGAGCCAAGAAGCAGGTGCACTCACATCTCCCATTCAGATTGTGTGTGTCCATGAATGAGAAGGCCTCATCGCAGTTCGTGCCCTGCTCAGCATAGCTCTTGTCCATGGAGTTCACCATCACGGTCATCTCCTGCCGGGTGCTGCTCAGAGTCTCCTTCCGCTTCTTGGCCAGTTTCCTTAGGACAAAGAGTTCAATTAAGTAGATGTGCATTTGAACGGGCTGTGGAGCTTTGACATATGTATAACAGGATGTTCAGAAATAACTCCTACTGAATTAAACAGACTCATTCACAGACTGGTGTATTCTACATTCTATACATCAGGTCCTCTGCAGGCTGCAGACATAGGGGTGGAAAACAGCTGCTGCTTATCCTTAACAAAACCACAGCCTAAAACATTATGTTTCCCCCGCTATAAATAAAATCAAAATGACCCATGGACAACACAATCATAATCTGCTTACTGACATGCTCCCACAGTTGTTAATGTTTTGAATTATGTCTACATTGCCATATAGAGTCAAAGAGAAGATTCACCCTAATATCCAGGTAAAACCGAAACAATCCAAGGATGGATCTAAAAGGCATGTTCTAAGCCTAAAGAAAAGAACTAGGCAAGGAGTGAAGAAAGTATAGGGGAGGATGAGCACACAAAGTACAGGATCTGACCCAGAGACGAGGGGGACAGTGGCGTGTGGGCCTCAGAAGGAGTAGAGGAGCATGGTCTGAATTCTCAGAAGGCCACGACACTGCCCAAACCCCAGATGAACCTCCATTAGTTCCCCATCGAGCTCTGTCAAGTCCCATAGAGCTACGTAGGACTATGTCATGTTGTTGGGCTCTTGGCAAGTGCCGCAGGAGTGACTCATCATTGTCCTTCCCCAGTGGAAAAGAATCCAAAAAGGCTGAGACAACAGAGAAATTTCTAATTCTTTTGGAGATATAGGTTAATCCTGGCCTCTACATCTTGCTCACTGACCACCAAAAACTTATCCTCTAAAATTACAGGTACTGAATGGGCCTAGTGGCTCTTACCTGTAATCCTAACACTCTGGGATGCTGAGACAGGAGGATCATTTGTGCTCAGGAGTTGGAGATCAGCCTGAACAAGAATGAGACCCTGCCTCTACTAAAAATAGAAAAACTAGCCACGTGTTCCGGTGGGCACCTGTAGTCTAAGCTACATGGGAGACTGAGGCAAGAGCATCACTTGAACCCAAGAGCTTGAGGTTGCCATGAGTTATGACGCCACAGGCACTCTATTCAGGGTGACAGAGTGAGACTTTGTCAAAGAAATAACCAAATAAATAAGGGCCTGGCTTGGTAGCTCACACCTGTAATCCTAGCACTCTAAGAGGCTAAGGCAGGTGGAATGTTCAAGACCAGCTTGAGCAAGAGTGAGACCCCCATGTCTAAAAATAGCTGGATGTTGTGGTGGGTGGCTGGGAGGCTGAGGCAAGAAGATCATTTGAGCCTAGGAGTTTGAGGTTGCTGTGAGCTGTAACACCACAGCACTCTGCCGAGGGTGACAACATAAAACTCTGTCTTAAAAAAATAAAATTAAATTAAATAAGAAACAAATAGGGTGGTGTCTGTGGCTCAGTGGGTGGGGCACCAGCCACATGCACCAGGGCTGGTGGGTTCGAACTCAACCCGGGCCAGCTAAAACAATAGCAACAAAAAAATAGCTGGGCTTTGTGGTGAGTACCTGTGGTCCCAGCTACTTGGGAGCTGAGGCAAGAGAATCACTGAGCCCAAGAATTTGAGGTTGCTGTGAGCTGTGATGCCATAGCACTCTACCCAAGATGACATAGTGAGACTCTGTCTCAAAATAAATAAATTAAATTAAATTAAAAAGACCTGTACACAATTAAAAATATTTGTACAAAAGCTGTAAGAACCTAAGCAAAACTAACACAAATAATTAAAACAAAGTTTTATAGATCTTTCCAAAGGTGGTTGTCTGCTTAAGGAGTAGATATAAGGTGAGAATGTTTAAGGCCATAGGACCATGACACCAAAAAAAACCTGTGTCTTAAAACATTCTAATTCTGCCCAAGCAACTAGCAGCATCTACAAAAGAAAATGGCAGCTGTTTCTAGTAAATCATCTTGACACTGATTGACCCAGGACACAGTAGAATTGAAAATCAGCCACGTAATCAAAATCACACCCATATTAGGTGATTGCTAATGCAGAGGAAGGCGCTGACAACATCAGACCATATGGATAATCTTTATTATCATTTCTAAATCACACAATCCAAATGCTTCCCTGCCTGTAGTTATAATAATCTTTTAATTTCATACTTTGAAGGCAGAGGGTTTCATTAATAAGTTGCCTTTTTTATTGCGAAAAGTTGTTGGAAAAAAGATATATTTTTAAACTGAAAAATGAAAATTACCTGCAACATCTCTGGTGGTGTTAAAGTTAAAAAGATTTGAAAGGTAAGTTCGAGTAACTCCCCTGGGCACTGACACCCTTCTCTCGCCACATGTCACCCTTGATTGACTTCTCCAGAAATGCCCAGCCCTGGCCTGGGCCCAGATGTTCTCAACAGAGTTCTGGGCAGAGGCCATGCGGGCCCCTCTCTGCAGCTGCACTCATGACAGTACATCTTCTTTCCACTTCTGACTCTGCCAGCTCACAGGGAAACATGCTGAGGCCAGGTCTGCCCAGGAATGCTGAAGTGGAGGATTGAGATAATTAGCTTCATAATTCAAGCAAAATGTCCACTTTTTGATTGAATTTCTTTGATTTACTTTGGACTGATTTATGCAGCTAATTGCCTCAATATTCTTTTTTTGTGCTGCTTCTAAAGAGAGGCCTATGAACTTTGCAAGACTTCTGTCTCTGCTTTTTCTTGTTTGAATCTCTCTAATGCAAAAGGTTAGGAAATGACAGCTAATGCCCTCCTTGTGTGGTTGGTGGGCGGGGGGAGGGATGTATGTGCTAATAAAAGCTATGCTTGTACTTGAAAAATTTTTTTCCTTTCTAATCCTCCATATGCATGAGCTAATTTCAGTGATGTCATGCTAATCACTCCATGGCTGATCTTCTTAAGCACAAAAGAACTGCAGGACTCCTGAGAGCACACTCATATACAACAGGGGGTCCAGTCAGAGACGCATAACACAGACTCCACGCCAGTGAATTTCCTCTCGACCCAGCTCCCAATGCAGCAAGGCTTCCTACGTTAACCCTACACTTTAACCACATTTTTACTCTCACTGGATGTAACAAACATGAACGTCCCATTGGGGCCAGGCAAGAAATGTCAGGGAGGGAACTGGTGTAAGACAACAGGAGTGGTGCAGACTGGCAAACGGAGGGATGGTGCCTCGGCCCCTACAGATGGAGTCTCCACGTAGGCCCCGAGCCTTGCAAGTTTCAGGAGAAACCAGAAATCCACATTCTATGCTGACTCTAACTGTTGTTAAATAATTCAAATTTAAAATCAAACACAACGTGGGTCACCTGAGGCATGTCTGTGGGTGATTCTTCTCTCCAGGAACCGCAGCACTTACAAGTGTCACTGCACTGGGACAGAGGATGTACAAGGAACACACAGTGCAGGTGGCAGGCAGCTGAACCTATAATCCCAGCAGGCTCCACAGGCCACTCCCACTCCCTGCCGCTCAGGCGAAGGAACTGAGTTTCAGACAAGTACCATGTCTGTGTGGTGGACTGGGGGGCTGGGGTTGGACCCCAGAGGGAATAGAGTTTCAGATGAGCACCACGTCTGCATGGTGGACTAGGGGGCTGGGGTCGGGCCCCAGATCTCTCTGCTGATCCCAGAGCAACATTTTAGTGAGGTAGCTCATTAATTTATGTTTCCTTACAAGCCACATCATAGTTATCACCTAACTCCTTTCCATACAAATCACCTATTGCCCCCAAACTAAATATTCTTTGAAAATGTTTACTTGAGGGGTGGGGAAACTGTGGCCTTCTAGGTCCTGAAGAGTGCCCTTTTGACGGAATCCAAACTTTACAGAACAAACTCTTTTGTTAAGAGGAGATGAAGTGCTTAAGAAAGATCTTGAAAAATCTTGAAATCAGGAGGCAGGAGGCAGGCTGCCCAGCCCTGGATCCTTTACACAAAGCTAGTGGCAGCCAGTGTGTTTAGTAAGTGAATTAATCATCAGCATACCACAGCATTACTAAGGAGAGTTTGTGGAAAATTCATCTATCAAAAGTAGCATTCTTGATTATGAAGGTTTTGAGCCATTGTTTGGGATTTTTATTTGTTTTATTATACAGGCATAACTAGGAGATACTGTGGGTTTGGTTCCAGATCACTACAATAAAGTGAATATCACAGTGATAAGAGTCAGATAAATTTTCCTATCTCCCAGTGTATAAAAAGCTATGTTTGCACTATAGGGTGCAGCAGAATTATGTCTAAAAAACAATGTACAGTTTAATTTAAAAATAATTTATTGACTATGTATGATGGCTCATGCCTGTAATCCTAGCATTCTGCGAGGCCAGGCAGGTGGATTGCCTGAGGTAAAGAGTTCCAGACCAGCCTGAACAAGAGAGAGACCCCCATGCTACTAAAAATAGAAAAATTAGCCAGGCATGGTTACGGGCACCTATAGTCAGTCCCAGCCACTTGGGAGGCTGAAGCAAAGGGATCACTTGAGCCTACATTTTGAGGTTGTTGTGAGTGCCCATGGCACTCTACCCGGGCAACAGAGTGAGACTCTCTCTATATAAATATATAGGTATATATATATTTTATTACTAAAAATGCCAATGATTATCTGAGCTTTTAAAGAGTCTTAATCTTTTTTCTGGGGGAGGGTCTTGCCTCAATGGTGATGGCTGCTGACTGATCGGGGTGGTAGTTACTGTAAGCTGGGGTGGCTGTGGTAATTTCTTAAAATAAGACAAAAATAAAGTTTGCCACATCACATCAATTGACTGCTCCCTTCATGAAACATTTCTCTACAGCATCTGATGCTCTTGACAGCATTTTACTCTCAGCAGAGCTCCTATCAAAATTGGAGTCAGTCCTCTCAAATGCTGCTACTGCATTATCAACTAAGTTTAAGTAATATTCCAAATCCTTTGTTGTCATTTCAACAATGTTCACAGCACCTTCATCTGGAGTACATTCCATCTTAAAAACCACTTTCTTGCTCATCTGTAAGAAGCAATTGTTCATCTGT